GTGAAATCACTAAGAGATTAAATTTGTCAAATTGAACTGTTTATGATTATTTGAAACAAATTGGTTTTGTTTCAAAGCTTGATATATGGGTTCCACATGTTCTTAAAGAGAGATGCTCTCTTTGGTGGGATTTTAAGAAAATTTTTTTTTGGAGCTTTTACCAGACAATTTAACAATTGATTTGAAAGTGTACCGCCATCAAGTAAACAAATTGAGTAATATCATCAAACAGAAAAGGCAGCCAGAATTGATCAACAAAACAGGTGTAGTGTTTTACCACGATAATGTCAAATTTCACACAAGTTTGGTAACTTGTCAGAAACTGTTATAACTTAGATGGGACATGCTATCACACCAACCATATTCACCAGATCCAGCACACTCAGATTATTACTTGTTCCAATCTATACAAATTTTTTTTCTTTAACTGTAAGACATTTACTTGAAATGACAATGTTAAAAATCACTTGGATCAGTTTTTTGTAACAATGATCAAAACTTTTATGAATGTGAAATCATGCTACTACCAGAAACAATAACAACAGGTATTTGACCAAAATGGTTGATATATAATTCAATAAAATATTTATTTATATAAAAATATTGTGTTTTTTTCCACGGAAAAAAACGAACTTACTTTCCAAACAACCAATAGTATTTCTGTCCTTCACTTTCATTGACTTTAGAAAGAATATATTTTGTCCTTTATTCTGTAATTAAAAGTAATCAACATAAGATTAATTTAAAAACAGATAAAATATAAATTATACACTATTAGTGTAAAATGAAAAATCTACAGTATATCATACAAAGCTTAGTATAATTATTTAATTTTACTGAAAAGTAAAAACTGACAAACTTTTGCTGAAATTTGCAAAGTCAAGAAAAATGAAAATTTANGTTTCAAAGTGGAACTTTAATTATAATTACCCTGTATATAAATTCCATTTTTTGCAATATTTTTTCTTTTATTTTCAGAAAATATGTAATAAAGTATAATAAATCATGTATGAAACTTTACTTCTATTTGAAAATTGATTTTTTCTATACCAAAATCCTAAAAAATTTATTCTTTATTTAAATGACTGATTTACCAGGATTTTGCCTTTGATCCAGCTAAAGAATATTACAGCAATTACCTAAATCACATTTTTCCTGATAGGTAGTGATCATCACCATCTTTAGTAAATCATGTTTTTATCCCTTGTTTCATGATAAATATTTAACATTCTTTCACACATCTTTGTTACATTTACTAATCCTAATTTTTTCACATGACCTCTTAAAAATGGACAGTTTACTCTTTTTCAGCTATTGTTTTATTTAATCATCTTGTTGCAGATAGAGAACACTGTAACTAGATATCACCTAACTTAATGACAAGCAACTGTGATTATGCTATCTGAACAAATCTTCTTATTTATAGTGTTCTTAGTCTATTTGTTAAATTGATTTACTAGATTAGGAATTAAACATGAAAATCCCATGAGCAGTGTTTTACATTTTTCCAACCATTCCAACTCTCTCAAATCACTGACATTTGTTGTTGATTAGGTTAGATAATTATATTTTAAGTTCAGGTGGTTAGGTTATTGTAGCTCTGAAAGTTAGGTTAGTTTGTAATATTACTATAAATTGCCAACTCTTTGAATTATTAATCAGTTACAATCAAATTACAATAGGCACATATCCTTGTTAAGTAGCTAAGTAAGTATACCAATAGCTGTGTTCAGCAGACTCAACAGTTGTAACTGAGCAAATCAGTAGCTGTTATGTAGCAACCTGGATCTGCTGAATGACGAGTGACGTTGCATTGGAACAAAAAGCCTCATTGGTCAGTTTCAGATAGTGATAGATAGTGTAAATGAAAAAAGATGCTACCAAATATGATGTCAGAACACCGAACATGTTCCGAAAGAGCGCTACTGTAGATAGCATTCAGCAGAAAAATACTCAACAGTTCCAGAACTGTCGAGTCTGCTGAACACAGCCAATGACAGATTGTTTCATATGAAACAAACTACATCATATGCTTGCTTACTTAGCTACTTGACAAGAAAATGTGCTCAATATTAGAGATGAAGACATTATGAACATAAAAAAAATTTTTTAAATAACTTAATAATACCTGTCTCTGGATCTCTTCCACCAAGTTTTTGAACCGGTAATGGCTTAATTGTATATTTTCCATCCTCTGGAAGTATAGGGCGCCATCCATACTTACTAGGCATGGGTGGTATTTTACCTGGTGGAGTCGGTCTACCGCCTCCTCTAATTCTGCCTCCAATGTATATTTGTTTATGACGAACAGTAGTTATCCTGACATCGTTCAAACAAGGCTGAAGATTCAACTGAAAATCGTAGAGGATTCCCAATGATTTTTTCGCCAATCCAAAATATGACGAATGAAGTAACTTTGTAGTTAATAGTGCCATTATACTCGGCTATTTGAAATAATAAATTTTATATTTCAAGAAGATAAGGATTGCTTAGAATAATAATTATTATTTAGACTTTCTTACTGAATTTATTTAGTACATATTTCTTCTAAGAATTAAAATATTTGTCTTTGCTTCTTTTTATTACACTTTAACATAAAGATTGTTCTTGTTTGAAATATTAAATCTGTTTTCAAAAATTTTAACTAAACGTTAAAGTGGATTGTACAGAGGACCGATATTTAACCTCGTAGATGCACGTTGTCAAAACTCCCTCTACAGAAAAAATTAATACCATTATCGTAATGACAAAAATTAATAGCCAAAATATAGCCGATTGTCTTCCAAGTAAAGAAGTTATTTCATATATCAATGCCTTTTTGTTTATATTTTAATTAATTAATTAAATATTTGGTTCAAATTACTTCAAATACAACCAACAACACACTTTTTTTTACATACGCTTTTTGTTTTCGTTTTGCTCTTTCCGCCCTGTGGGCAACTAACGTAAAGGCAACTATACACCATGGGTTAATCCTCAAAGGAGTAACCATGCATGCCTGATTTTGAGTCATTCCTAGATGTGTAGGGGGAAAATTTAACAGTTTCGGCAAACTGTACCGATTACCCGAGTAGAATCGGCCATATTCTTCAGGTTAATTCTCAAAGGAGTAATCATGCATGCCTGACCTTTATAATTTTTGGTAGTTTATGGGGGACAATTTAACAGCTTCGGCGACCTGAATCGACCACCTGAGTAGAATTGAAAAACCATTTGATTTTCCTGGCGCAGTGTCAGACTGCGAGGGCCGACCTAAACGTGTGTGAGAACAATGTCTCGTGAATGTTTGGAAGAATTATTTTCTATAACCTTATTAACTTTTATTATTTACAACCTAAAAAATTAATTTTTCAGGTTATAAATTATTTTCGGTTCAAAAATTTCTCGAGTAAATCAAAATTATAAATAATTTTAATATTTAGAAAACTTCTCAATTCATTTCTTCCGTTTTCATAAAACATCTCGATACTCTATATCATTTTCTNTTGCAACGCTCCACTATATCTCGCGAAGGGTCGCCCGTACGGGCATGGTTCCTTTGACTTTTTTGTTCCTATCGATATGCTCTACTGCTCTGTCAAAGTCCCAATTTGCTACATTTGTCCTAGAATTGTGCCGATTTTTTCGCCAATCCAAAATATGACGAATGAAGTAACTTTGTAGTTAATAGTGCCATTATACTCGGCTATTTGAAATAATAAATTTTATATTTCAAGAAGATAAGGATTGCTTAGAATAATAATTATTATTTAGACTTTCTTACTTAATTTATTTAGTACATATTTCTTCTAAGAATTAAAATATTTGTCTTTGCTTCTTTTTATTACACTTTAACATAAAGATTGTTCTTGTTTGAAATATTAAATCTGTTTTCAAAAATTTTAACTAAACGTTAAAGTGGATTGTACAGAGGACCGATATTTAACCTCGTAGATGCACGTTGTCAAAACTCCCTCTACAGAAAAAATTAATACCATTATCGTAATGACAAAAATTAATAGCCAAAATATAGCCGATTGTCTTCCAAGTAAAGAAGTTATTTCATATATCAATGCCTTTTTGTTTATATTTTAATTAATTAATTAAATATTTGGTTCAAATTACTTCAAATACAACCAACAACACATTTTTTTTACATACGCTTTTTGTTTTCGTTTTGCTCTTTCCGCCCTGTGGGCAACTAACGTAAGAGGGCTTTTAGCAAACTCATTACGAGTTCGGCCAAGCCCACAATGGAGCGGCCGGGTGGTAAAGGACGGGGATAGACATATCCGCTCAGACCACTGGACTGGGATCGAATTCGGACGGTCCGAATTCGATCCCAGTCCCCCAGAGCGGTAGGCTTAAGCGCTCGGCCATCCGACCTGTTGTTGGTTATGTTTTAACCAAATGTTTAAATTATTTAATATTTATTAACTCAGAAATACACGTAAATTTAGAAAACTAAAAAACGTATTTTTCAAATCCCGATGTGAACAGCCACATTTCTTCTGATTGACAAAACTAAGCAGACGAGAATATCATCCATTATATTTTAATACCTCTTAATGTAAATTCATTTCGGGCTGTAGCTCCTCTTCAGTAAATACTACAATGATAAAATAAACTAATTAAACAATTATATAAATTAAAACAAACACCAAACATCTATCTACATATCTTTACATAACATAACATAATTAGAAAACTTTCGTATATAAAATTTTTTGTATGTTAGCATTGCGGCAGATAAGCATTGAATTTTTATATATTATTATATTATTATTGTAATTAGCCCATAATTACAATAATAAAATGTAATAAAAATGAAGTGCTTTGTAAACGTCAACGGGTAAATGTAAACGTCAGTCGCATCTATTGTCAGTTTAGAGCAGTGGTTCTCAACCTTTCTGATGCCGCGTTTTATATCGATTTTGTTTTCAGCACTGTTTCACATAAAAACCCGTAGTTAATTAACAATTAACTTTATTCACTCTCGGATACAACTGACTGACTGACTACACAAGAACTCCCTCAGACATTCGAAAAGTATGTAGGAATTTCCACCTTTGACTTGACATTCAGATCAAGTTACAACAGATCAGTTACAACACTACGGAACACCATTCATATACTTATTATACGGAGCATTAGCATTAATACATTCGAAAATTGATAAGCAATTCCATGTTTACTATTCTCAGGAATCAATGAAGCAATAAAGTAATAAACTCTAATATATTGAATAAAATAAAAACATGGAATTGTATACGAATATAGCAATGGGAATAAATTTGAATAAAAACTGCAAAATCTTTTCTTTCGTGGAACACTCGAGGTAGGTTCGCGGAACACTGGTTAAGAAACATTGGTTTAAAGTAAACTATGATCTGGCGTACCATAAGTTGTTTGTGTAAGTTTTTTAAACAAGATCAATGCTCGTTAACATCGTTCGCTTTGTTTGTAGTGATACCGTAACAGAGAAATAAGGACTGCTATCAATGCCTGATTTACCTTTGAAGGGTTCCCAAGCAATTTACAATTTTTACGGTTTCTTGCAACTAAAAATTAAAAAACAGAAGTCAGAGGAAAGACAGAAATCGAAAGAAGAATTATACTCATTTATCATTAATTTATTTAAATTAATTAATTTAATATTAATAAATAAATTAGTTGATAACACAGTTTATAATGTATATTACAACATCTTTCGACTCATCTCTTCCGCAAACTGTTCGATCACATCATCAGAAGATAATTTCTGAAATTTATCATTCTCAATAAACATAAGAAAAACTGGCAGATTTAAGCCTTACTTTAATGTTGTACTCAAATAATTTTTTGAACGCTTCAGTGTGATGAAGGATCTTTCACCTAAACAGTTTGTTATTGGTAACGTCGCGCGATATATTCGCACGAAAAATAGTCGCAAGATGCTTTCCAACAAAAATTTGATCTATATTGTCTTCATAACTCAACGAAAAAAAAACAAAACAAATAAAGGGGAGAAGGTTCCTGACGGGATCCTCTTAGAGCAGGACAGGAAGCAAAACAAAACAGTTGCTAGTTTTTCTTCCTGGAAAATTCACTGCTAATGTGTAGCAGTGGATTTTCTCCAGCGACGAATCCAGTTCTGTTTGGGAACAGGTCATCATTATGTTAGAATATGGAAGACCATTGATGAGCACTTCAATAACCTTTACTATTAAGGTACACGCTACTCTCAACGTTAACGTGCTGGTCTAGGAAGTAGTGATGTGCCGGATGTCCGTATCCGTATCCGCGAAAATCCGAGAGGAAAAAAGATTCGTATCCGTATCCGTTACTTTTTAGCGGATCTTTAACGGATCATTTATCTTAATGAATTTCATTACTTATATGAAATTTTAAAGCTAGGTAACAATAAAATACTAATAACTTCAATTCAAATTACTTTTTATTTCTTAAAATCACATTTGGCACATTCATATTGCAAACATTTTATCATGCAAAATTCATTTACTATCGTAAAATATTTCCATAGTACACTACTAAACTTTTTTGTCGACATTGTTTTTATTTTAATTTAACTCAACACTTTCCAAAAACACAACGTAATCTATGCTATCCCGTGTCACACTAAACTATAAACAAAAACACGCGCAGTGCAAATCAAAACACGTCGCGTTATTAACGCAAAGCGTCAACTATCGGTCCAAGGTCACATGCACCGGCGCCGACTGAGTACGAAAGTTGAGATCCGTATCCGTATCAGTGGATCTAGACACTAATGATCCGTATCTGTATCCGTATCCGCAGATATACATTTTTAACGATCCGGCACATAACTACTAGGAAGCAGATCCGTCTAAGGAATATTTACCTAGATACGAAAACACTTAGGGGCCCGCAGTAGTTCCTATCCTTATGAAATTAATATTATTCTTACTATCAGAAAATAAAATCTTTAAGGCTGCTTTTTATTAATAAAGAAACATTCTACATATGTCATTTGTTGAAATAAATAAATAAAAGAAAAAATAAAATGGCTAAAGGGGTCCCCGAAGAAGCAAAAGATTCCCGCTCTGTTTCCAGGTCGCATACAAGTTCTGTAATTTCGAAATGCATAATTTAAAGATGTCTACTGGATTAGTTCTTTAACTTCAAAAATTAAAAATAGGAAATTTTCTTTGAGAAATAAACTGTAAAATACGAAACAATTTTATGAATTAAATATCTTCAAAATTTGAAATTTGTTTTAAAGGCATTTTTTCTAAGATAATTTAATATCTATTTTAAAATATTTTAAAAATTTTTTGTACACGTTTTTATTTTAGTAAAATTATTTATTATTATTAAAGTGATAAGAATGAAATATATAAAAAGTTATATTTGGGCTATTTTCTGACGACTTTCGAATGAGTGATGTTATTTGTCAATGAATTCGTATCTGTGATTTGAACAACGTGGTTTTGTGTTTTCCGTGTACAAATTAATTTTTTTTATTAATTTTGAATTAACAATTAACTTAATGGCTTCAGCATTGGAGAGTTACGTTAATCGTATCCTTTCGAAAATGATTTATATTCATACAACAGACGGATTTGTGTTATTTAATGCTAACTGATTTAAGAATAATTTGGATATTTGAATTACACTAGATATTTAAGTAATGAATTCTTTCGATTGCTAGTTCTTGTCTTTAAATATTATTTATTTAGATATTAAATATTACGAATAAACAACTAGAAAGACTTTACATATTGTGATGTTACAATAAACTCA